GGGATGGAACTGAGTCCATGTATCACACCACCCATTCATTTATCTACATACCTATGTGCATAGATAGAAATGGTTTGCACTACGGTGATAGAATTGTAGATGACTTGTTTTTTGTTTTTCCGTTTTTTTTTTTTAATTATTCCTTGTTTGTTATCTTTTGGGGGGTATTTCTAAAATATTGCAGTGTATGCATTTATACTTTTTAAAGATTTATTTATTTGAGAGAGAGAGAGAGAGAGAACACAAGTGAGCAGTGGGAGGGGCAGAAGGAGAGGGAGAGAGAATCCCGAGCAAACTCCCGAGTGCAGAGCCTGACGTGGGGCTTGATCTCATGACCCTGAGATCATGACCTGAGCAGAAGTCAAGAGTTGATGCTTAACAGACTGAGCAACCCAGGTGCTCCAGCATCTATAATTTTTAAAAAACAGCTTTCTTGAGATGTAATTCAGATGACAAAAAAAATCCACCCTTCAGATCAGTGGTTTTTAGATAATCCCACATCTATCACCACTATCTAATTTCAGAATCTTTTTATCACTCCAAAAAGAAAACCTGAGTCCCTTTGTAGGCACTGCCCATTTATCCCTTTCCTCCAGCCCCTGACAAATATGAATATACTATCCTTCTCTAAGGATTGTCGACCCTGAACATTTCATATAAATGCAATTATATACTATGTGGCCTTTTGTGAATGGCTTCCTTTCCTTGGCATTGTGTTTTCAGGGTTCACCCATATTATAACAGGTATCAGTACTTTATTCCATTTTATTGCCTAATACTATTCAGTTGTATGAATATACCACACACTGTTTATCGATTTATTAGTTGGTGGTTTCTATTTTTTGACTATTATGAAAAATACTCTTATGTACTTTTGTGTGTAGGATTTTCAGTTCTCTTGAGTATATGCCTAGGGGTGGAATACTGACTCATATGTTAACTATGTTTAACCCTTTAAAGACCTGCGTAACTTTTCCTGCATGGCCACATTTTATAATCCCCCCGGCAACTTATAAATGTTCTAATTTCTCCACATCTTCACCAACACTGATTATTGTCATCTTTTTAATTCTAGCCATCCTGGTAGCTGTATTTCATTGTGGTTTTGATTTGCATTTCCCTAATGACTAAGGCCTTTGGCCATCTTTTTATATGCTTATTGGCCATTTGTATGCTTTTTCTTTTTTTTTTTTTTAGAAATGTGTATTCAAGTCCTTTCCTCATTTTCAATTGAGTTATCTTTTTATTGTTGTTTTAAGAGTTCTCTATATATTCTAGAGAAAGGCCCTAGTCAAATATATGAATTGCAAATATTTTCTCTTAATATGTAGGTTTTTTATTTTTATTGTGTCCTTTAAGCATAAAAGTTTTAGTTTTGATGATGTTCACTTTATTTTTTCTTTTGTTGCTTGTGTGTTTTGGTGTCATATCTGAGAAATGACTGCCTAATCTAAGGTCATCAAAATTTTTTCCTGTGGGTCTGAGTTTCATAGTTTTATCTCTGACATTTGAATCTTTGATTTATTGAGTTAACTTTTTGTATATGGTGTGAGGTAAAGACCAAATTCATTATTTTGCATGTGGATATCCAGTTGTCCTAGCATATTTGTTGGAAAGAATACTCTTTCACCATTGAATTATCTTGACATCCTTGTCAGAATCAATTTACCATAAATGGGAAGGGTTATTTCTGGACTCTCAATTCCATTCCATTGCTCTGTAAATCTAAACTTATTAAATTTACCACAGCATTCCTATAGCTTTGTAGTAAATTTCGAAATCAGGAAGTGTGAGTCCTCCAACTATGTGGTTGTTTTCCAAGATTTTTTTTCACTATTTCGGGTGCCTTGCATTTCCAAATGAATTTTAGGATCAGGTTTCCAATTTCTATAAAAAAGCTGGTTGGGATTACATATGTAAATTTTTAAAACGATAGTTATTAATCTTAAAATAAACTTCCTGCCAAAATACTAAATCTCTTCCTTAAGCTTTACCTAGACTTATACTGAGCAAAATTCGCTGTAAGAGCTTGGCAGTTATGAAAGAAATTGGATTTGGTGTAGATGGCTGTGTAAATGCTGAGGTAGAGTACAAAAGCATGGAATTAACATTTTGACAGACAGGAGAGGAAGTTATTAAAATAGGTAAGTGCAGGAACAGTGTTTCAAAAAGAGAACACAGCCTGGGCTAACATATGCAAGAATATTGGTGTTTACAGGAAACTGTGAGTATTCACTAGAATTGTACATGGGGTTTGATGATGCAAAATGAGTCAAAGGAGGTAAACGAGGTAGAGATTATGAATCATCAATTGCTGATGTCTGTATTTCACATCTTAAAGACTTTTAAATTCTGACTCACAAAAATTAATCATACTATAGAATGTCTCCCAAATATAAATAGTACATAAATGAATTATTAAATGTCCTTAACTTGAATAGAAGTGATAACTGAGATCTGGTTGTAGATCATTAACTGGAAAACCAAACATGCAGTTTCAAAGCACTGCTAAAGAAGAAAATCATTATGTCACTTTAAGTGACAAAGAATGTTTTTGTCTGCACACTGAAATCATGGTGACAGATGCTCCAACATAACCAGTAGACTGGATTGATTACAACTAAAAAGTACCCATATCCTGTGTACTAACTCCTTCATCTGTAAGATATTTAGAATCTTCAGGGGTCCTGATGTCATATTCATGGCTGTATTTTAAAAAATTATTTGTTTGTTAGACTAGGAGTCTGAGAAATCAAAAGGAGGGCAGGTAATTATAACCAATAGGACAATATTTATAACTGCAATATTCCTGGGAGCATAATTCTAGTGGGAATCAAGGAAGAAAAGCTTTGCTGAGGAATGACACTTGAGCTGAGATTTGAGAAGAAGCTAATGAGATAGGTAAGCACAGGAACGATGCTTCAAAGAAAGCACAGCATGAGCCAGCACAGAGATGTGGGCAAGTACTGATATTTTCATGAAACTGTTAGGTGTATTCATTCACTGGAGCTGTATGTAAGGCTTGATGGTGCAAAATGAGCAGAAACAATGAGATTATAATCAATTCTGAGTGCCATGCAAAGAATTACAATTTAATCTCACAGAGTTCAATTGTAAATTTTCCAGCCCAGTGACAATCGATTTGTTGGAGGGACTCGCCACCCCCCTGCCCCCGTTCGTGGTGTGAAGGGTGGATCAGAGGGGAGCGAGACCAGGGGCCAGAAAACTGGGGAAAGGAGAGTGGGCAGCAGAATGGTGGTGGGCCATGCGCCTCTAAATCAGGGCAGCAGCTGCAGAAATGGAGAGGGAGACGCAAACACAACAGATTTTTGGAAAGGTAAAGCTAATGGGACTTGCTGATTGATTACATATGAAACATGAAGGAAAAATAGGATGTAAAGCAAGAGATCGACAATATTTTCAAATTTCTACTCCTTCTTATGAATGTAAAGGAATAGTGATTATTTATAACTTTAAATGCATTTATAATATGTAATTAAAATAGATTAAAATGTCAGTCAGAATCTTTTTGGAGATAAGGGTATTTCATTATATTAAATATATGATGTTAAGTGAGACATATTTTCTGCCTTTCCTTCAACCTGATCACAAGCTTAAGCAAATGCCCCTGGAGAGAGGGATGCACTGAGAATAACAAAATCAAGCCAGGGTGTTTTCACAGCGTAAATTCTCATTACTTTGTCATTCATACCTTTCCAAAGTATATTCACCTATTGCTAGTTGAGAAAGGGAATGAGATATAGAAAATGAAAACTGTAGACATGAAAGCCTGCCTCATGCCAATTAAGGGTTGTTTTTATTTTAATAAAAACCACAAGGTAGCAAAACAGTCCATTTCAAGGGACAAAGGGCACAAATCAAAGATATCACATATAAAACAGTGGTGGTCAGTACAGACAATATTTTTCTGGGATTCTGAAAAATTAGGGTCACATGTGCCATTAAAACCTGGGCTGATTTTTTTTTTAGTCAAATACACAGTAAGGTCTATGAGTGAATAAGCATAAAGCAGTTAGCCCCCATGCTCTTCCCACTCACTGGCAACAGCATGTGGGACTACCTTCATAGAGCAATTTGTTTTGGCTTTTAATATTTCGTAAGTAAACAAAACATAAATATTCAAAAACAAGAGGGAAAGAAGGTGTTCCATTCGATGGTTGGAGGTGCTGGATCATACACAGTTACACAGGTCATTTACCGTCAGATTTAGTAGTCTCTGCTATGCTAAGGCGAGTTGTAAACTGCACTGTATTTTCAGTGGATCCCAGTGAAGCTACATCTAGCAGGCCTCTCCAGGGCTGGACAGAACCATGAAAAGGTAAGCCAGTAAGACAGCATGTGTATGTTCATTTTATTTATTTATTCTCCACTTGGCTGGGCGCAGGGTAGGACTGCCGGGTGGAAAAGTACCCAGAAAGGGGACTGCCCAGAACTAGAAGGACGAGTCTGAAGACAGCAGGGCCCTGGGCCCTAGCCTTTTGGACCAGGTAGAAATGCAGAGAACACACACAAGCCCTGAATGGAAATCTGCACCCGAAGGTGAGCAGCCACACCTTTGAAGTGTGCTATCTAAGGCACGTTTAGTCTGTGTGCCTCATCAATTCATGCTCATCCCACTTAATATCTACCACTGAAAATGAAGACAGTGGGAAGTTACAAGATTTTTTTTTCCAGTTTCATACTGCCCTATAATCTATCACTAAGCATTTCATAAATCACATAAAACTTTCAAGTCAGGTGCAATTTAATTTACCAGAAATCAGTGAGAAAAAGCAAACCACTCCAAAACACCGGAGACAAGAGACAGGGAAGCCTCAGTGCTTTTCTACCTGTCTTTTGAATTGACACAGGCCTTTGCATAATGGAAATCATGGTTAACACGAAACTTGATCTCTTTCACTGTCTTGGAGTTCAAGAGACAAATCTTGCGCACGCATGCACGCGTGAACATGCGCGCGCGCGCACACACACACACTCCGTTTCTCCTCAAAATAGCCACATTTTTTTTATTTGGTGATTCAATACATTTTTAATTCAAATAGTCACCACATAAACCTAGGCACAATATTAAGCATTGTACAAGCAAAGTATTTTACTGATTTTCATTTCAATTGCCAGAAAGTACAATAAGTGAATTGGTTAAAGGATATACTTCTGTACATAAAAATATCCATGTATTTGTACAAGGGTATGGAACAGAGTTTAAAGATAATAAAACCAGAACATCACAATAAATAGGATGTGTTCCTACAGGACAGCAGAGCACACTTTGTCAGTAAGCTATCCAGTCTCTTTTCAAGGTGCTTTTTTCTTCTGAGCTAGGCTCACACTCCCCAAAAAAGGGCTAGGGTTTAGTCACGACTGGATCTGAATGCCTACGTTCATATGTTGCTTTTTATTTGCATCTCCAATAACAGGGGTAGAAGATACGATCATTTATTTTCAAAAAGTCTTTGCGACTTATCAAATTCTATTGATTTCCCACTTCGGTATTTTAAAATGCAGATTAATCTAAGCTCTAGCACCGTATGAGAACGAAATACATGTATTTTTGTCAGAGCAACAATATTTTATATCATCTTTGTTCCTCTGGCTATAACAATTCTGTTTAGAAAAATTTACCACGCTAAAAATAGTTGATCTAGGTTGTCATAAAAAAGAATATTAAATACCTTTGGTAAAAATAGATATATTTAACAAGATTAGAAAAGCAAACAGTTATAATGTCAAAAGGAGAATATAAAAATGTACACAATAAAACAAATAAACCAACTTATAGGTAAAGTGAAGATAAGGCCACTCTTCTTTTCAGGTTTGTGTCTTCCAAACCATGAATGTAGTTCTCTTCTTCTAAATGGTAGAAATTTTAGCAAGAAATATGGAAAATCCAGTCTCTCCTATCAGCATGACACAAGTTTGATTCATAGCAACATAGTTCCTTTTTAAGAACCAAGTTTGTAGAACATAGGACACTCTGGTTTATATACGTGAATCTAAGGAAACAGTTCCAGATTTCTGTGATTTTAGGCCCAGGACATGGAGCTTGAGAGTTAAGCAAGGCAACAGAACCAGCTGTTCATCTGCACACAGTTCTTTTCCTGTACTGACATTAGCCTAAGCCGTATGGAGACAGCCGATACACAACACACCTAGCTGAGTAAGGACATGGTAACTCTGTAACTAGCTAGCGATGGGCAACATTTCATTTTTTTTTCCACTACCAAAGACCTTTTCTCCCGTCTTTTGGGCCTCCTCTCAAAAGAGCTGTTGCACAACTTCTAATTCCGTTTGGTGTCTCCTCTTTTAGAACACTCTGTAACTCCTGAAGATGAAAGGTCCCTGAAGCAAACAACTGAGATTAGGGATGGGAGATAATGCGCAAGTTCTAGAACAGATCAGCCACGGAGCCTCACTGCTCTGGGAGAGGCTGCGCATGTGGATGCGGTTATCCTCCTGTGTGCCCTCTGCACACACAGTCACACTCCTCATGGTGCTCCAGGGCCACGTCCGTGAGAGATTTATGCAATCCCCGCACACCACTCTTTGGTCTCAACTGAAGGACCTGAAAAGGAACAATGTATAAGACATCTTTAAAATCAGCCAACATCTGTTAACTTTTGATTTCATGGACAAGTAAAATTTCAGGAAAGACTCGTGGGGCCCAACGAAGACTCTGACAAAATTTTGACTTTTTCCTAGTGAAGGGCCCATGAACACACTCCCCCACCCCTCAGAGAAATCCTAAATGATCATCATCCTTTCACAAAAGAAAGGACGTTTTAATACCAGCCACTTGGAAGGATGCTGCCTCCGCACACAGAACAGTCCTTACGTTCAAAGTCTCACTGGGTGCTCTGTCTTTTACGCCCCTGATAATACTGCAGAGAATTTCACCCCGATTGAGTATTCTGAAACCACTACCGCCCAGTCTTTTTTCTGTTTGTTGGTTTCTTTCACTCATTCATTTTTTCACACATGTAGTAACAAATATTTATACTTGAAGCGACACAAGTATGCAATACCGTGGAAGGAAACACGATCACTCCACAGCTGAGTTTGCTCCATTACGCCACTCATTAATTTTCTTGGCTACGCTTCAAGTCCTCTATAAACTTGATGAGCTGGATTAGATGTACTTCATAGACATCAGCCTCCGTCACAGCTAACTTTGTGCAGCTGGATCCTACTGTGCAGTATACGGAGGCTGAGCGATTATAACGATGATGCCTCTATTAAATGAAGTTAATGTGCAGTCTGGCTTTTTAATAAAAACATATAGCAAAATAGACAACGATACTAAAGATATTTCTTTTTAACACTGTGACAGGAGGACACAGCTACGTATTCTGTAAAAGATTATTTGAAGTATTTGGTAAGAACAACCTCTCCAATGTGTATTTGTGCCTCTTCTAATAAGAACACTAACGTTTCAGGAACTGTGTTTGTTTGGATTATGAACAAAGACCAGAGCACATAACAATACGAGATCGTCTCGTTTCTCTGCTCTCTGGGTAGGACAAAGATAACTTCATAGAGCAACTTCGAAAAGATACCCTTCCTGGAAACGTTCTTTAATCCAAAAAGGCACAAGTCAAGTCTTATGACTGTTCCATTTGCAGATTTAAAAGAGACAAGTAGAGAACGTATACCACATTTGGAGTATGGGGTCATATCAAAGGCTAATCAGCTAACATTTTTTGAATGCTTACTGGGTGCCAGGCACTGTAATAATGTTTCTACATACTTTAACTCACAAGAATTCTATGAAGTAATTTACAATTATTACCCCGATTTTACACATGAGTGAACAGAAGCTTTAGAGAGAATAGGGACATAGCCAGTATTTGTACTTTGGCTGAAGATGAATTATTGAAGTCAGACTGATAGATAATAATTTTATAAAGACTCAGAATATATTATTAGCCATATATTCTACTTATTTAGTAACTTTCTTCCTAGAGAGATAAACTGCAAAGTCTTGGAATAACCATGAGAAATAGGAAACTTTTAAAGCAGATTTTCTATTACATTTACAACTCTAGAATAAAAATTACTAAGGCTATATTATTTTAACATGAAACTACTGAATCCTATCTTAGGTGTCAGTACCCGACTTACTGTTTTGAACAACCTGAGGTGGCATCAAAACTTACTACGCTTAAGATACTGGTGCTATCCCTTATCAAACTTCTGGTAAAAACTGTTTCTGGAATGAGGCTGAGAGGCTAGATAAACTGCAGTATTGGCCTAGCCAACGTCTTTAATTCCTATCTCCGCTTGTATACATTTTCCCAGTGAGTAGGGGAAAAAATGACTATAAAAGGTAAGGGTTGGAGAAGCTACCGTATACAGTCCTAATAGGCAGCCATGCCAGGCTACGATCCTACAATCGTCCTTTCCTCTAGAAGTGCTTCTGTCAAGATGCAGTCACCCAATAAAAGTACCCCCAGCCATGACGGCACTTCCACCCCCAGTCTTCAACCACTAATACCTGTGGAGATTTACAAATAGCAGAAGAATCTCATAATGTTCTAGTGATACTAAATCTTAGTTAAGACATTCTAATACATGGGAGGGGGCTTAATTAGGGCTTTCCTTCTTAATTTCTTTCCAAAGTTTTGTTTTGACTTGGGAAGAGAAAGACAGACTTAGAAAATGACCAACAGGTCCCAGATAACATGAAAGAAGACAGTTTTCAGGACAGAGTTTATGACACCGTAAAAGAAAGAAGGCAGAAGCACATCTCACATGATTTTGAAAGAGAGGTTCAGGCTAAAATTACAAACCCATGAAAAAACAATCCAGGGAAAAGCTAAAATCAGAGAATGTGGAAGAGATTAGATCAGGTACAGAAAGAACCATCAAGAAATAGATGAACGTATACCACTGCCTACACTGGGCAAACAAAGTGCCATTAAATTATGGGTGCCACAGAAGCTTGGGGGATGGGACTCACGACTAGAGAAAGGCTATCGAATTATATACTTTTTACCCAGAACAGATCTATGCAAGAAGAATAAGACCATACTTCATGTTACCTATATATATATATACATATATATATGTATATATATATATATATAAATATAAACAAGGTGAAAATCATTAGGCTAATCAAGGATGGAAAAAAGGAACAAATACAATTTTATTGTCAGAGTATCCTATAGATCTTTTTGCCTGAAAGGAAATACTCATCCTACCTCTGGGCAAAATTCATTAAATCTTTATTGATCATTTGCCATAATCAAAGCCCTGGGGGGTGTGGGGGGCATGAAGATGAGTAAGAGAACAGCTAACAAATACTAAGGACTTGAAATGTACCAGACCTGGTTCTAAGTGTTTTGTCAGCTCCTTGGATCCTCCCGATAAGGTATGAGCATTAGGTGTTCACTTTACACACGAGGAAATGGGAGGCATAGGAGATGAAGTCATTTGCTCAAAGTCCAACAGCTGGATGTCAGGCTTTGGAGTCTGTTTTCTTAAGTACTACACTGTAATGCGCTCTTTGTTCTTAATTCTCAATTTGGTAAAAACAAATAGAAATAAATAATAATTATGAAAGAGCAAAAATTCTCTCATCAAGATATCTCTAAAGTTCTACACATGCACAGAAGATGGACTAGTTACGCTAGGATGGGCAGGAAAGTAGGAAGTGTTTCAAGGAAGGGGCGACACCTAAGTTCAGACATATGTAAAGCTCCTGTCTTGCTTTCTGAAAAATCCTATTTGGGAGATAGAAAAATCATTAAGGAAATTGGGGGGTGGGGAGCAAAGATGTCTTCCAATAAGTAGTATCTGGTAATCGATACAAAAGCAGTAAGAATCTATTAGTATTAGGATTATGCTATAATATCAAAACACGTAACAATAATATCATCCTATATATTATGAGCCTTTTAATTTTCTAAACTTATTTTCAGTACAATGGTTGAACCCCCTTTGAAAATGGTAAAGGAACCAAAACAGGGAATAACTGTAATATTTGTAGTAACATGAGGAATGTAATTCAGCTTAATAGTTAGGGAAGCTGGTATAATAGAGACAGATGAAGGAGAGAAAAATTAGAATGTCTAAACTCAGTCTTTGCTTCTGTCTTCTCCCTGAGGTGGAATAATCTTCAAACTGAAAACTGGAATTGTAGTCATCAAAAGGAATTAAGGCCCAGAATACGCTTCACTTTAAATGAGTTACATCTCTAGATCCACATTAATGGTATTCAATGACTTAATGGTTTTAGAACTACTTGAAATTATTTTTAAAAGTAATTTCACTTATTTTTTTAAGAGTTTATTTATTTATTTGACAGAGAGAGAGAGCACAAGCAGGGGGGAGGGGTAGAGGGAGAGGGAAAAACAGACTCCCTGCTGAGCAGGGAGCCCGATGCGGGGCTCAATCCCAGGACCCTGGGATCATGACCTGAGCCGAAGGCAGACGCTTGATCGACTGAGCCACTCAGGTGCTCCAAAATAACTTCACTTATTTAGGAGTAGTAGTACTAAACTCAGAACTTACTTCCAAAACATAGTACTGAGAAAAATTTAGGCCTCAGAAATGATCAATGACACCAAAGAAGTAAGTCCTTTTTTTTCAGAAGGTAATTTGTTAACAAAAACTTATCACAGAAAAATTAATGATTCCCACAGAGCATTATAAAAAATGAAGACATGATTGTTACTGGAGATATTTATGAGAAATGTGGAGTATTATATTTCCACACGCACATGCATTAGAGATATTTGTGGGAAACTTGTACTAGGTGGTCACACAATTAGATAAACACCCCTACTTGTATGTGTGTACATACAGATCAGGCAGACATAACCACCCCACCCAAAGACTAAAGAATAATGGAGGGATGTCATTCTGGAAGAAGGCCATTGAGTTTACAAGCACTTCCCATAGTCTTTCCTCACACAAGAGTTTTATCTGAGATACTAAAACAGATGTCGCATACTCTGTGGCAACTTTCTTAACAACCCTAAAGCCAATGTTATCTGAAAAGAAATCTGTAGGTATAGGACGGAGGAAGATACACTTGACCTGAGGACTGAGTTAGCTGACTAAAAGCAAGATGTAGCCTCAGCATCTGGCAAGCTTATTTACAAAAAGCTACTATGACTAGTCTGGGTTTTGTAGCTCTTAGGATGGTGGCTATAAATCCAAGAGTTGTTGGCTAAATCGGGGTCCCTGGATACACTGTATTTAATAGGGACGTGCTTTAGAAAGTCCACAGTGAGGGGTGCCTGGGTGGCTCAGTCGTTAAACGTCTGCCTTGGGCTCAGGTCATGATCCCAGGGTCCTGGGATCAAGTCCCACTTCGGGATTCCTGCTCGGCGGGAAGCCTGCTTCTCCCTCTCCCACTCCCCATGCTTGTGTTCCCGCTCTCGCTGTGTCTCTCTCTGTCAAATAAATGAATAAAATCTTAAAAAAAAAAAAAAAAGAAAGTCCACAGTGAAATGATTTTAGGTGAGAAAAGATCACTCTCGTTTAATTCCAGTTCTCATCACAGCCTTTCATAGTCACCAATCAATTCTAATGCCTGCCTCGATTTTAAGGCATCTTATTGAGTCTTTTTGGAACTGCCATATTAAGGGTTTTTTTCTTGACTCTCAGATTCCTGGTTCACACAGTAGAAGGAAGGCCAGCCTCTGAGCACAGCCTGGCTGCAGCAACCTGGGCCACTAAGCTCATGATTATCTCCTTCCTGAAAGGGGAGTGGAGACTGTTCCCAGCACAAGGATCTTTAGAAGCATGGGGTGCAGAAATGAAAGTAGAACATGAATAATGGTGGTAAACAGTCTTTTTTCTTTTTAATCAGAGACGGCCAGTTTGGGATGTGACTGTCCAAAAATGGCAATCTACTAATTGTCAGGGAATAACACAGCTGGGAAAAACTTGAGAGGTTATCTTATTTTACATTTATTTTAACAGAGTTTAAGTATCCTGCTAATGGTTACAAGTTAATGGTAGATCTAGGATGGTTCCTTGCCTATTGGAATCCAGTGCTTCTGTCCCACTTTATCAGCTGCCAACACAATATTAGTGAAGGGTGGGTCAGCCAAGTCATATAAAGTGCATTTTATGCACTGGGCAGCTTCAGATTACCTAACAGATTAAGAGTTTTATTGATGTCCTTATGCACATGAAAAATCATTTTATTGATTAAGCAGATACGTTCATTTATTCTGTATTATTCTTTGGGTTAGTGGAAAAAATACAAAGTAATGAGATGAAGTTATACCGAAATGAAGTCAGAAGGGTTGATTTTGGCTTGGTATAATGTAAACGTTTTGTAAAAATTAAGGTTGCCTCATCAAGAATGTTTTGCTTCCTGATGTATGAATGCTACATGATGCTGCTGGAGAAAGGGTGGGCATAACTGGGGATATTCTAGCACTAATGAAAATTTGGAGTAAGTTCTAAGGTTCCCAAGGCTCTGAAAAACAATAATTACTAACATTTAGTATTTATATTTTCCTTAACTCCACAGAATAAAGGGATGAAAGGAATCCATAAGAGGTTTAATGTGCTATTTGGGGCAACAGGAATAATAGGAAGATTGGTATAATTACGAATATGTCTTCTTGGGATTTATGTTCCGTATTGCCCCAAATGGAAAAATAAATATCAAAGATCTCCTTTCTCCAACAGAGACAAGTCTGTCTTGAAAATATTTTCCCTTCATATTTTGAGAAATGTCAAGTTGAAAAGTTTTACCCATTCCCCACCCCCCCCGCCTTGAAGAACACATTTGCTTTTTGGTACGACAGATGAAAACGTCACTGATCACCCATGTCGTACAATCAGAGGACAAGCCTTCTCAATCTTTAATGCTTGCGTTTTTGAGTTCAAGGTCCTCATTATAAACAAAAAAAACATGAACTATTCTGTAAACCTTATTTGTTCTTTTCCCATGAAGGCTACATCTCTTTTCCAAACAAAAATTCATTTCAGATACACGGTTTTGTTATTTTTCTTAAGACACAGAGGAACCCGAGAAGAAAAGGTCTACCTACCTCATGATACTTTTTAGTGACTTTGCTTGGGACACATTGACACTCATGGCAGTTGTGAAGACAACAGGCACAGTTTCCCCCGCAGCGTTTAACCAGGAGACAACCTGGCCAGAAAATGGTATCGGTTCTCTTTAGTTCTTCCCTTATGGACACCGAGAAGTTACGCGGCGTGCAGCTGTAGAGTCTTACCTCCTCCTTCAGAAGGTTCAGGTCCACCACTGCATGGCGTAAAAGCAAGCAAAGAAAAATAACATGCTCATGCCCTGAGCCTGAATTTATTTCATCAAGATCTTTTCAGAGAGAAATCCATTTCACCAACAATATGCCCAACAAGGTCCCTTCTTACTTTAACGAGGTTTTGGGGGGCTCCGCAGCTCGCAGTTTGGACTTCCATTTTATAGTCAACAAAGCTTCATTATGACTTACTGACCATTAAAGAGATGCCATTGTGCAATATTAAGAACAGAGCCAACAAAACAGTTGAGAGCTATAAATAGGAAACTTTATGGAGAAAAAGAGGGCTACACCTTTTAACCCTCATAAAAAAGTAAACAAGGAGAGCATTGGAGGAAAGAATAGGATGTAAAATGATGAATGCTTGGATTAAAAAACAAATGCAATTTTTAAAGGGATTAGAAGCTCATGCAATTAATGAAGAACAACTTACAGAAACTTGCTGCCAGGATTTTATATAATTTTTCTGGCAATGAGACTCTGAAAATGCAAAAAGGGCATGAAGGAAATGAATTTTTGAGGACAGCTGAGTAGACCATGAGTGAAAAAAATGATACATTTTAAAAGGGCTGAGGTTGCTGAAAACCCCTGCTTCCAGTGCCCTGAGTAATTCAAAATGTTTGAAATTCAGTTTAACTAGGCTCCTTCAGATTTCTATTCTTCTTCTAAAGGAGGGAAGAGATGTCTACTTTATAACGATTATCTCTATTCTTTTAGCAAGTTGGTTAACTATGTAGTGTTTTATTCTTTAAAAGAATACCTAATTGTGAAGACCAAACAAAAATATCCTTTCATCAGATTGTTGTAGGAGATTCTCAAAGAATCTTTGTTTTTAACTACAAAATGATACTTGCCTCAGTTAATTTATATCAAAATAGCATGTCATACTTAATATAAATTTATATAAAACATGAATAGTACTTAATTATCATAGCCTATAAATTTAATGTCTGCTTTATAACTTCGCCTTTTTTTCCTAGAAATAGTCAAATAATAGCAATTCCAATAAAATTGAAGAGTTTTGGATAGCATACAATTCATCAGAACTTTTTCTTCAAAAAGAAAGATTTTATTAAAATTTGGAATATTATCTAAATAGAATAAATCTGGTTAAATATTTTTCACTAATATTGGAAACATTATAAACAAGAATTGAAAAAAATTTTCTGGTTAAAGATGGCTTCAAATAACAATAAACACTATGTACTACAGTTTTAAAAATTAAGGGTCAATATTTGAAAATAATTTTAAAATGACAAGGTGATTAAGAATCAAATGCTTGTTTTCTTGTTGCTTGTTTTACAATTTTACATTTACTTGTACATGTGATCAAGTTTTTCTAAAATGTCAAAGGAAGCCACTTTGTAAGTATTTTCAAGAAATAGGATAAATCATGCACATGCAATTGTAAATTATAAACACATGTCAACTATACGGTTGACTAAAACCTTGGTCAAGTATAGGGAAACACCAAGGAAATGCTAATTCCATAGGTTCATTTCAACATCTTATTTAACTAAAAAATTACTTTTTTCCAACTCAATAGAAAATCACTGTTTTGAGTATTTAAAGATTTCCCTTTCATCTGAAAAATGATCCCGTGAAAGGAAAGCTTTTAAATATTTAAGAGGAAATGAGTTCATTCTTTTGAGTGCCATAAAAGACCAACTTATCTCTAATAAAAGTAATGAGATAATTGAGTTAAATGATGTCACATATTTCACCTGATTTCATTTGGCTGAACTAATAGTGTATGCACATACTGCTCTTTCATTGTTAAAGCTGTATATGAGTTTATCTGAGTCTTTTCTCTAGAAGTTAGTATCTAAGCAAGAAGGGTTTAGAAAGTAGAAAACATGCACATACATACAATACAAAAGCCAGTTGCCAAAATTTTCAATGCTTATTTAAGATTTATACCTCTTTAGAATGTGAATGAAGCTCTCAGCTTTCAAAGGATATTCATCTACCTCAGTTTTAAACACACTATTTCATGGAACTAGAAAATGAGACTGTATATGTTCACTTTAAAATGTTTACTTAACCACAATAAAAGCTTAGATAGATTTCCCCAGTGAACTGAGTTATGATACCTGGTACAATGTGAAAATTTAAACACACTTGCAACTTAGCTTCCACTCATTTATCATGTTTGACACAACAGTCAAAAGCCCTTTTTAAGTACTGGGTAAGCTTGACTTAGAAAATAAGGTATTTTCTTTTTCTGCAGTAGTAAGGTATGAATGAAAACCCTAAGCCAGAGGAAGAAAATGAAAAAACAAAACAAAAACACTGAAAAACCTTAATGCAGTACGCACTACAAATACAATCAGGGATTTTCAATTTGTCATCTTATTTGAAATATAAGCTTCCTACTCCCAAGGCTTCAAGCTCATCTAAGCTTCATTAAAATAAGTCATGTGATTATAATTTGATGTCACAAATTCTCCAAACATTGTGCAGAACTTCTGGGCAAGAAAAATGAAAAAACAAAAAACAACAACAAAAGAAAAATATCAAAAAAGAGAAAGATCATGTCCAACACACACACACATATATATATATATATATTTTTTTTTTTTTTTAATAACTTAACTATAGTCTTATGGAGGTTTCCCTCTGTAAAATATTTGAAAAATAAAAAATCAGTGTTTGGGTTCTTTATTTCCTTTCTGAAACTACTTCCTAAGACAACACATGCATTAGTTTGCCTTTCTAAAAAATGAAGATTTTGAGTATGGCAGCAATTAAAGTCATTTTTCCTAATGCAGATTTTCTTGTTCAGATTCACCAATATTGCAAGTTTTACTAAAAAAGCTAATACTGACTGAAAAAATTCATGGATACACTTTACTTTGTTAGTTGCTCATTCTTCTAAGATATTCAGGTCAAGGATATTCTATTACTGTAATGCAATCCGAGGGTGGTCTTTTTAAGATGAATGTGGTAACATTGTGATATGTTTATTCTGTGGAAAATCAATTTCGATGTCTAATTAGAAGCTTTTAAACGTTTTACTCCTTGTTCCTTTGTAGAAAGACTCTTGGGAGTGGAGTTGGTTTTGTCTATATAGATGTTATCCCACACCTGCATTTTAGTTTATGTAGAGTTCCAAAAATATACACTGCTTTTCTCACACTTACTGTATGCTTAAAAAGTTAATAGTTTTGGCAAACTGCAAAGAGCTTCAATTTGGAAAGTGCTAAATGAATATTTGAAAGATCTGGTTCAGTGCTGGATGCTTTTAAATACAAGCTAGCCTCTGGCCAAATCTTCACTGAGCACCAGGTGGAGAGGTGCAGGCGTAAAGGCATGGCTAGAAGGGAGATTTTTAGGCTCGAATCCTGAGATCAGCTGTCAAAAGCAAGATCTGAGCTTTAGAACCTGGTTTACTCCCTTTGCTTTTTCCTGATCAACATGATAATCTACTTCAAATCTAACAAAGGCTCTATTCACAAGTGTTTCAGCTAGCCTTGCAGATCTTCATTTTCCTGTTCCTAAGTGGGAGGGAAGGGAAGTGTTCATAAGTTATTCATCAAGTTATTCATCAAGATCAAATCTTATAAATATGTAACAACTTTCAGCATCTGGACAGGATTCGGCTGCCCATGTACTTGAAAACCGATTTCAAATATTGCTGAAAGGAAACCACGTCTATTGGCATAGCAAAATACCATGGCTGGGCAAGTCTGGACATGACCTGCTGAGATTAAAAAGCCCTTGATCCAGTAGGGTTGGAACTCTTCTCAGGAAAGGGCAGGAATCGGGTTTCTTTCTGACAAGATTTAGAAGACAAGTCTGGTGCAATCTTCCCTTGTGAATTGCTCAAACTAACGAAATACTGTTCCTTCCATATAAATTCTCCAGACTGTCATTCCATTCTCTAGATCTACCCTGTTTCTGAAAGCCTGAAACAGATTTTTTGAGCACATTATAATTAGCCAGTTATTTCTATTACTGTTTCACTTGTGTCTGATATGGATACTTTCCAATCCTAACGTTACTAGGAAAATTAGCTAACCTTAGGGAAAACTCAGTTAATGTTATTTCCAATTTCGTGATCATATGGAATTAAGTTTAATTATCAACACTTTCACTCTTGAAGGGAGATATGCTCATAGGGTCAAGTGATCATTTCAGAGACAAATTTATAGAGAGAAAAATTATCATGGTATGGGTACCTTCCGGTTATTCTTTTCTTGCTCTGAATACTGTCTTGGAAACTCCTAATTCCATTTTATGATGAACCCCTGTTATTTTCCATATTATTTATAGAAGTTTGTAGGCTTAGGAGATGGAAATTGATATTACCCTGACCCACGGGGACATGGTAGGTGATGATTTTTATTTCTTTCCCTTTTCTAAGGCCCAAATCTGGTTTAGCACTAAGGTAATCTCTCTTGAATCTCTAAATCAATATACCCCAAATATTAGATTTGAATAAGCAATGATTCTCATGAAACATACTAGAGGACTTCATCAGAATGTATTTTTGAACTAAAGAAATGATAAGAATTTTTAGCAAAAGTATTCCTTTTAATCTTCCAAACCCCCTGAATTACAGTTGCTTCTTTTTGTGTGCATTCTTATTTAATGTGTAAATATGCTCAAATGTTACAAAAATGGGTTGTTGACATATATCACGGAAGAATTTTAAACTATACTCCTTATAAGCTAATGTAGAAGAATCTGGAACACTAAAATTGCTAAGAAAATTAAAAGAGGTTGGTTCTAATCTGAAGAGAGAACTTACCTCTGGATTTTCTTCCAAAAACAAAAGCCTTGCCAAGAAGTTGCCAGGTTGGCCTATATAGGTCTTCCAAGTCCAACTGCCATCTGTCTGGTTCAAGATACCGAATGAGATCTTCCAAGGTACTAAAGGCAGTGACAGCATTATTCAGCAGATCCAATGGCAAAGCTGAAGGGGGTAACACGGAAGGGCTCACAGCCTCCGTGAACTGCTGAAAGTAAAATGAATCTTATGTTAACTCTTTTAAAAATGACAATGGATTTCTTCTGGACTTACGCATGAAGTAAGGTAAACTGAGGCTGAAAACGCAAGGGAAGTGAAATTGTATTCAAACCAAATTAGAAGTAATTGCTTTGCAAAGACTTCATGTAGATGAATTCCAATAGATCTCTGTGCAGTCAATGAGAAAGACATTAACCTTCATCATCACAAACCATGGCGGATGTGGATATCTGTTGCTTAAAGAAAAAGGAAAATGTCTCTAAGGTTCAATTAGGGACTTACAATGGAAACTATGATACTGTTTACCCAATTTTTCTTTTGTTTTTCACTTTTCATTTTCCTCAATCTGGAAACTCACCAGGTAGTTATGCAAATGAGTGTCAGACAAATTAAAAACTTAATATAAAGTAAGTAACCCGTGAAGAATTAGAACAAAACATAGGTGAAAAGCCTTTCACATTGGAGAAGAACTTGCTAGTCAAGACAGAGAACACCCACACCATAAAAAATAACTTTGATACATTTGTCCATAGCTTTTTTGGTAAACAGGATTAAAAGACACTGGGAGAACGGCCTGATGAACGACATGTCACAGGATGAGGGTCCAGAATATACAAAAAACCCCAACAACTAAATAGAGAATGGGCAAATTCCACACAAGAGGCTTGAATGGCCAATCGACATACAAAAGCATGCTAAAATTCACTAGTTATCAGAGAAATGCAAAACAAAGTGAGGTATTATTTCACATACAAAAAAGGAAAGACTATTTCACATACGTGAGTTTGGCAAGGATTTAAAAGAAAGGATTGCCAAGGATGTGGGTAACTTGGAATTTCTCTGTTCTGCCTGCAGAAGTGAGCATAAATTGGTACAACCACTTCAGTTGATTTAATGGATGCACACAGGATATTAGAATAAAAGATTTATATGATCCGTGTCTCTGTAATTCACTTTTGAGGTTTACATCCTTTTATTTGTGCACATGGAAATATGTGCAATGATATTCATCACAGTGTTGTTTGAAATAGAGAAAAATTCAAAATAATCTAAATGCGCAGGTATAGAGCAATGGATTAAAATACATCATTTTAAATGGTAAGCAACAAATGAGACAATAATTCAATAAAAGTTCAATGACAAACCTGCCCCCACAACCACCGACTTTTAAAAAGCAGACTAAAGGCAGGGAGTGGTAGATCAGAACTGAAATCAAAATAAGCGAAATAAATACATGAACAAGTGCTCAACTTATTTTTTTGTTATTTATTACTTTTATTTATTATTATTAATTTTGCAGAGGAGGGGAGAGAAAGAGTGTGGAATGAGACATTTATGTCAATTGATGTTCATTACAGTAGTATTTATAATAACAGAAAGTTGATAACAAATCTAAACTTATAATATTGGAATAGTTACTTATAATGTACTCAAACTGAAATGGTGTACAGTCATTAAAAATTAGATCCTCTAAGAATTTTTATTAACAAAAGGAACGCCTACAATGTAGTAAATGACAAAAAAATCCCCCAGCTATATGACTATGCCTCGATTCAATATACATAAATATATACAACACACATGTCCTATTTTTTACATTTTTATAATAAATATAGGTTCCTTTTAGAGATCCAGTAAAAGTTATAACATTTGTTATAATAATTTTAATAACTATCATACAAGCTTTTCCATTTCATCCTGATTACTTGCACCCTGGGCCAGATACTGGAAACAATGTACTATTTATAGCAGCGGTTAACTTTGTTGACATGCCTTCAGTCTTTCCTTATTACCTTTATTCTCGGCTGCATAACCCTGGGTTAATCTACCTAAAATAAGTTATCACTGATCATGTGATGAATTTGGACAAATGCCTAGAGTGATTTCTCATCTAGAGGATAAAATCCAAATTCCTTACCCTGTACTCAGGATCCTCACAATCTGACCTCTGCTCACCTTTCCCATCTAATCCTCTACTCATCAAAGACATGCACATTTTGTTCCAATCAATCCAGTCTCTTCACTAACTACTGCACATGTCATACTCATCGCAGACCTTGTACCTCTACCCATGCTAAATACTGCTCCCCTTCCCCATATGCAAAACCCTCCCTCCTGTGATGCACACAGTAAATCTTTACCATTTATAATGGTCTTTCTTGAAACATGATTCATCCATGAAAATTTCATTAACAACAGGGCCATCATCGGCCATATATCTCAACTGTGTCAATTTGAAAAAGATCCCCTTTCTGGGCTATCCCTTGGGCACATGGTTTGAAAAGCAGAAGCTGTTCTGTAAATTAGAAAGTGGACCAAAACAACAACAACAAAACATTGTTCTCTGGGGCAGGCATATCCCCCTGCTGGGGCTCATAGCTTTATGGGTGCAGAGCCCTCTCTGCCCACAGGAAGGGGGGCATTTTTATACAACGTAATGAGCAGAAATGAATGTGGCAGTCTTGGGTCAACACTGATTTCATTTTTAAAGATCTAATTTCAATAATATCAAGAGTCTGGCTAAAATATTATTAGCACTAACATGTTTTCAATTATTCTATCCAACTTTTGAGAGTAGAAACCAAATGTAATACATTTCTATTTACTCCCAGTATTTTTTTAGTTGTCTAAGAAATGCAAAATTTCTTTGACAGAGAGTACTATTATAGTTGATAACTATATTATGGATATAAATAAACAATTTTCTGATAAAATCTTTCAGTGTTAATTCAACCAATTTGGTACTACTGATTAAATTTATAATGTGAAAAGGTTAATGCAAATGTTTTGCAAATTTTTAAAAGATAAGCCAAAATGTATGTTTATATAAGGTGAAAATTAACGGTCGGTAATACTCAAAGAATAACTGAGTTATTACTCATGACTATGACGATATAAAACAAATCAAACGTGTCATGATCTGCACACTGAGAGTAAAAGTAGAAAGCTAAAGCAAAAAGATATTCTTCATTAAAATGTCAGAGTGCAGATGTATATTTTAGGTATGATATAAAATTGTTATTTAAGCTATTTTCAATTAGACCATAATCCAAGCATGGGTTGGCTTATTTTGTTTCCATGTTTATTTGAGAGTCTCTGCATAGAGCATTACTTTTGAAGCAATGAAAAGTTCCAACTGAAATCAACACTGCTGAGCTAAAGGTTCAAAGTATTTATACAAAAGAAAGCAAAACAAAATAAGCCTGTAATATTGAACAAACAAAATTTGGACACCTTGGGTTCAATGAAATATTAGAATATCAATCCCCTGAAATGACAAGGATTGGGAGAACACAACTTAGCACACATTACTGCATGCATATATTGGCTGATGTCATAAATTTCCAAGTTTCTAAATATTTAAATTAAAATAACTTATTTTACACACACACACACACAGACAACCATGCAGCACACACACACACACCCAACCACACAGCAGTCCCCCCCCAAAACTTGCTTCCCCTGGATTCTAAGAATCAATCTTTGGACAGAACAGAGGAAGTAGTGCTTTCATTTAAGGGCTTTCTCATGACTCTTAACCGCACCCACTGGTTCAGGGAACAACCAAGTTGTTCACTTTTGTAGTTCTGCTTTTCTAAGTTGTCTAAAGGGATTCTCAGAGAAAAGGGGGAGCGATGGAAAAAAAGAAGCTAGAAGAAAAAAAATGTCCTCTGATTTTTTAAGTTTTAATTTTTCCTCTAACCAAAAACTACTCTTTTTAGTCTAAGTCATAGCCTTTTCAAGATTTAGTGTCTAAAGAATTCTAAGAATATCTTTTGTATTTAAAAATACTTATGTTGGGCTAAGTGCCTTCAGTTGAATTGGATCTGCACACTTTCCACTTCCTTTCTCTTCTATTCACCGTGAAAAGAGATACTTATTACTAAGTTATGGGTTGCCCTAAGACTATTTAGTGGATGATACTGGTCAGTAAGAGAAGGCACAGTTTCTCAGTGTTCTGTCACGTAACCCTTAGTGAACCAGAAAAAAGCTTTTCTGCCATTACATGCAGGGTAGCAGTGACAACCTGGTGACTGTGTGGTCCCAGCCTAGATGTTCAGGTATGTGACTTGGAGGGATAGAGGGCGAAAGGGCGGAAGGAGATCTGAAATCTCTATGCAGTGAGGTGTCCTGTCAAACAGTGCATTTCTAAAATGTCAGTGCCACGTACTAAGAAGGGTCCTAAACAAAATGAGGTCTTTTAAGTTTACTGGTGAAAGTCATTCTGAATGACAGCATGACGTGACAAAAGAGCCCTAATCAAGAGTCAGTGAGTCTAGACTCTAATCCTGGAGCTGCTCACATTCAGGGAAGAGCAGTTGGGCAGGTACGATAAGCCCCCTGAGCCTCAGTTTCCTCCTCTGTAAAGCAACACCTGCTAAACTCAGTCACCTCTAAGTTTCTTTCCAGGTTTTAAATTTAAGAATTCTATATAATTGTGAGAAATGAGAGGGTTCATTTTCTCCACATCCTTGCCAACACTCGTCTCCTGTCCTCTTGATGACAGCCATTCTAACTGGTGTGAGGTGATATCTCATTGTGGTTTTGATTTGCATTTCCCGGATGACTAGTAATGTTAAGCATCTTTTCATGTACTGTTAGCCATTTGGATGTCTGCTTTGGAAAAAAAAAAATCTATTCAGATTCTCTGCCCATTTTTTTTTAAATCAGATTGTTTGGTTTTGGTTATTGAGTTGTATGAGTTCTTGACATATTGTGGATATGAACCCCTTATCTGATATATGGTGTGCAAATGTTCTGTCCCATTCCACAGGTTGCCTTTTCATTTGGTTGACTGTTTCTTTGATGTGCAGAAGCTTTTTATTTTGATATAGTCCTGCTTGAAGATTTTGGCTTTTGTTACTTGTGCTTTTGGTATTATTTCCAAAAAATCCTTAGGCACTGTTGTGGGAATGTAAATTTGTTCAGCCATAAAATTGTTTACGGAAGACAGTGTGGAGGTTCTGTACAAAATTAAAAAGAGAA